ATTTCAGGTTTAGTTTAGTAGTAGAATAGTGTAGTGTAGTAGAAAAAAAAAAGACGAGCTCACCCACAAGCCACGAGCTGCTCGTTTTGGGCGAGCTAGGGCTCGGGCTTAAGCTAGCTCGTGGGTCACGAACCACGAGCTCGGTTCGTGCAAGCATGAGTCGGCTTGGCTCATTGCCACCACTACTCTTAGCTTTGGAAAAAGATGCAAGGGCTCGTAAAATATGCTAAGAGTAATATGTAATTTTAGTGTTGTGATTTTAATTGAAATATAATTGATATTTTCCCCCCAACAGGTAAGATAAAAACTTCTCATTGTTGATGTGACAAATGTGTGATTGTTATAGACAACCATAAGGTTCTCTTGTTACCTCAATCATGAGAAATTTTTATCGTATCTACTGTGGGCATGGAATCAAATTTGTCAAATCTATCTATATTTTAGTACTGTAACATATAGGAAGTGTTCGGAAGAGATTAAAATCGAATTAAAATTGAAAAACTAGCGATTATTGTTGACTTTTATTAGACAAGTGAGACTCAATAATGACTATATTTTCAATTTTATTTGGATTTTAATCTTTACCAAACGAGCACATAATATGTTACTCAAAAGTCCATTCGCTTCAAAGTCAACACTTAATTTTAATAACATATTTTATGGAATTTACAACCTTTTAACTATGCATTTCATTGACTTTTATTAAAATTTATTAAAAATTTAATTTTTATCTAAATAAAATAGGGACTAAAGTAAATACTTGCACGAAGTTCTTGTTTAACTTTATAATTACCCACGCCATTACCCAACTACCAATAAGTCCTTGTTTGAATCATATTTTAGGAAAAAAATTTATTTTGTAATAGTATTTTTTGGAGAATGTGTCGTTAAAAATAATGTAATTTTTTATTTAATGTATATTATTATTTTATTGAAAATTGTGTAGTTGAAAATGAGTTTTGATAAAATGTGGCTCAAACAAGGGATATAGATGTAAATGAGTCGAATCGAAAATTAGGGCTCAAATTTTTTTGGCCGGAGAACAAGCCATAGCTCGACCAGAAAACCAAGGCTTGGCTCGAGCCTAATCGAGTCAAGCTAGGCCGAGTCAGTTATTCACTTGTTATTTTATAATTCGTGAAATTCTATTTTTTTTAACAATATAAATTTTGTGCAATTTATACTAATTATAGATTAAATAAAAATTACAGTCCTCCTCTTTTCTTTTGACTTGAGACCGACTACCTACAATCAACATAGATAGAGTTAAAATTGTATACAAATAAAATATTTCGTGTACAATTTTTTTGAAACAAATAAATTTAAAAATTATATAATAGAATAAAATTTGATGTGACTTTTTAATTTTTTTAGCAGCTATAGTTGCAGCCTGCATGAAAACACTGGCAAACATTTGAAAATGAAGCTCGGCTCGATCTCGTTGAGCTGGCGAGAGCTTTTCTCGGGCAAAGTGGATCGTTCGAGCCGTCCGTCGAATTAACGTCACTAACAAGAGCTAAATAAATAAAAAGGTGTGAACTAAAAATGTTGTAATTTTTATTTATACTAGCCTTGCCCCGTGCAATGCATGGACGGGAGTATTTTGAAGGTAATGTTAGTGTTTCGAATGTGTCAGATACTCGTAGGCAATATTTTCATTTTCGCGTGTGCTACTACTACAATGGGATGGACTTGTTTGTAGTTATGGATCAACAGACTTGGGAAAGACATTCGCCTACCGCCTCCTCCAGTTGGTTCCCTATCTCTACGCGATCTTGTACATAGGGTTTGTGTTGGAACAATCTCTTGTGAAAAATGAATATGGAAGTCATAAATAAAGATAGAAAATGTAAAGTGAACAATCTCTTGTGAAAAATGCAATATGATACTTGCCTTTGCGAATTGAGCATCCAATCGCAGTTTCCTCTCCTGCTTCAATCAATAAAGAATTCACAGATCTATTTAACACTATTAACACACTATAAACATACATATATGCGTATAAACACATACAAGTGCATGAAGAGTTAAGCATGATAAGATTGCATACGGTAGCGGAGAATGCAACGTATCTGGCATTTTGAACTATGCTACAGACAGCTGGTTAATCTACGTGCACTACACCAGAAACCACCTATGGCAACGTGCGAAAAACGTTGCCATAGACTTTTGGCAGCGTTCGGGTGCACGTTGGGAAGTTTGATGTGGTCGTAGAGTTTCGACTTTTGACAACGTTCATCGAACGTTGCCGTTTCCTATTTTCAACAACGTGCACAGCATGTTGACATTGACGTATCCGCACCGTTCGTAGAACGTTGCCGTAGCCCCTTTCC